TGGTCTGGTCTACCTTGTTCCATCAGTGCCAGACTTGGGGCAGTCTCAGAACCTTTAAGCTTCAAAAGTGCAAAAAAAAAGTTCCTTTACCCTTGAACTGGGATAAAAAAAACTTTTGGCTTGTACCTTTGCCAGAAAGTCTTTCTCTTGAACTGATGCTGTGTTTGTGCATGGTTGGTTTTGTGGTTTGCAGTTGTGTTTTTTTATTGTTATCTTGTTAAAAGGATGCACTCCTAGTAATAAATAAAATAATGTTTAAATTTTAGGGATGGGAAACACTGGTTCTCTTAACAAGTCTTCTTCTTGTTGACAGAATGTCACATTCTGTCCCAAAGTTAAAACTGTGGGGCCAGGTATGTGACTACAGACTGTGAAAATCACACACTTGTTTCTGCTGTGTGGGATTTTGGATTAGTTTTAATTCATCAGGATATTAATTTAAGACAAATAAACAGGCCTTAAAGGCCCCTCAATGTGATCTTATGTCGGTATCTTTGAGCTGTAATTTCCACCAGTTGAGCATTTCGGAATCCTGGAAACTCAGGGGTACTGTTCGTAACTTTTCTTGATGTTTAATGTCATTCTGCATAAAGCAGAATTCCCTCATGAAATCAGTGGTTGAAGTTTGTATTTCAGGTGTGTTTGTGGTGTTCAGTATTAAAACATTCCCCTCCTGTTAAAATTGAGTCTTCGGTGAGTTTTTGTCTTTCCTCAAATATGACATAGAGGAGCCTGGGAGTCCAAGGCCAGCCAGAGCTGTTGGTCCTGGCAGCTTTTGTCTGGGTTTTCCCTTTCTCTGCTGATCACAAATCTGGAGGTGTCCTGGCTCCATTTTCTTCTCTTTGAATAATAATAACAGCAATGGAATGGTACAAATATAATAAATAATGATCTGAAAATACAGGAAATTGAGGGCAATTTTTTGAGTAGCAGCTGGAATTCCAGATCTGTAAAACTGGCACTAATTTGCTCAGTTTTGCTTTTAATTTGTCTTCAGAAGCATTTTCTTCTCATCAGAGAAAAATAAAATAACTCATGAAGTTGTTACTAAGCTGACAGCAGGAGAGAATTTTGAAAGTTTGCTGATTTAAGTGCATATGAAGAAATTACAGACTCAGGCAGGTAATTGAGGTGTTTCTGTTTTGAGTGGAAGTTTCTGAAGCTGTTAGCTTTGTGGAGGTCACCAGGTAGAATAATAATAAAAAAAAAAAACTAAAAAAAACCCCCCATATTACACCTTAATCACACAATTTATTATGGCAAGATAACTCTGGAAAAAGAGACAGCCAATGTGAAATATTATTCCTGGATGACATTTAGGAGGTTTTAATGTGGATCCATAAATTTAAAGATTGATGTGGCTGGTGGTCCAGCAGTCCTTAAAGGTTTTAGCCTTGTTAATCTGGATTGGATCCTGATTTCTTATCATGTAAGACAAGGATAATTATTTCAGCTAAGTTGCATTGTGGTTTTTGTGATGTGGTTGCATGTAAGACATTAATTAATTATATTCTAAAAGTTACAAAGGTCTTCAGTGCAACATTTTTAGGGCTGGAAATAATCATTCATTAGTGGTGATGGGGAAGACACCTCTGCTCTGCATCCCAGTTTTGGGATTTTCTTGGGGAAAAAAAGGCAAGTTTTGCCTGAATCCACAGCTGTTGAAAGGAGTTAAGTTTTCAACACACGCAAAATCGAGATTAAAACACCAATGAGATTAAATGTTGGGATCCAAAGCACTCATTCACCTATATTTTTCTCCATGAGGGAGGAAAGGAAGAGAGAAAATAGAAAAGTAGAAAATGCCAAGGATAAATAAGCATATTATCATGCACTTAACTAGGTTAATGCCAACATTTATAAATACAGCTCCAGTGACAATTGCAATTCCAGCTCATGCTAACCATTTTCTCTGGCCTGTAAGCCCTAAAGGCTTTAGCAGGGTAGTAACCCATGATCCAGGTTCTAATCCATCAAACCAGGCTTGTGGTTGCATAGACAAATAATTCTCCAGCTCAATCACTTAGTTCTTTTGTCTTAGCTTGTGCCTCCTCTGTGGAGGATAAGGCACTATGGATGGTAACACAACTCTCAGTTCCAGATAAATTTAGCACATTCCCAGCTATATTCCCTTTTCAATTTAAACAATTTGTAGCTGTATATGGAGTACTTTTTGAGATGTTTCATCTTCCAAATCCTCATTCAGTTTTAATAAGAGGTTGTTGTGGAACATCATTTTGTCAAGTTGGTTGTGCAGGGATTCCAACTCAAGAGAGTGGATATGTTGCTGTTTCTTTAGGCAGCCTTGGTTCTAATTCATCATCCCCTTCTCTTGTTAATCTCTGAAAAATTGAGCCAAATCATAAAACTTGAAACAACAGCAAGGGAAGGAGCTGGGTGTTTGCCCTTCACTTACACAGAGCTTCAGCAGAGAACAGACAAGGAGGGCTGTGCTGCAGCTTGTCTTCCCTGATGAGGATCCTGTGGCAGAATCTAGGTGATCTTTGAGGACCTTTCCAACCCAGGCCAAAGTGGCTGCTTTTCCATCTCAGCAGAGCTATTGGGAATGTGCCCAAGATTTCAATGGCATGGTCACCAGAGGATAACAAATTCATCAGCTTGAATATTATATGCAGTTCTTTCTTTCCTTTACAAGCAGGAGTTACAGCCAAAATAACTTTTTCCTCTCAAATTCAGTAGTTCAGTTTAATTTTAGCAGCAATATGCAAAAACCCCAGCAGGTGGAGATCTAAAACTATGTTTTATTTATACAATAGCGGCTTCCTGGGGACCTTGAACTGGGCAGAGGCAGCTGCACCTATTAGATATTGTACAAATACAAAGTGAAACAGCATTTCCTGTCACAAACAACTTTCAGTCCAGAGCAGCATTAATGCAATTCCCTCAAATGGGAAGCAATTTTAGAGCGAATAAACTCTAGCATGATTTATTGCATGGTTTTGCCTTTTTGTTATTGAGTATGACCCGAGTTTCAGCTTTCCATAATCTTCAGAACAAAAGAGAGCCCACCATATTCCCAAGAAAATGAAGGAATTGCACAAAGCATGGTTACACACAGTATGGCTATTGGAATGAATGCTTCCTGGAAACACTTGAAAAATTGGGATAAGCAAACAATTGGAAAAGCATCAAAGGGGTCTAAGACTGGGATTAAAGCCTGATTTACCACGTTTATTTTTACTCCATGCATTTTGGTTTGGGTAGTATATTGTAGATGCATTTTGCACTTTGGCAGGCTCCCTGGTTTTGAGGATTTTCTTGTTTTTCAAGGAAGGATAATGCAGTGAATTTTTCAGAGGCAGAGGATTTAATTTTCTGTGATGGTAGACCACACTTACAGGAATGGAGAAATCTATCGTGGGAAGCAGAGACTCAGGCAAAGACTTCAGAAGCTGAAGTGAGTATCAGCACAACATAAGCTCCAGTGGTGCTGCTGGGATGCCCACAGGAGCAAAAACCAGGGAATGCTGCAGAAACCCAAAGAGACTCAAAATATTCACCCTGTATTTGTCATTCAGGAAAGTCTGCACAGCAATCACAGCTTAGCTGCTGGGTTTGAAGAAAGGACTAAACCCAAGAAGTTCCTTGGCATGTATGAAAGCAAGAAATCAAACTATCACGGGCATCCTCTGTGCCCATCCTCCCTCTGAAAGCCCCATGTTATTTAATGTGCTGGTACTCCCTAAATTATATGGAAAACTTAATAAATACCATGGCTATTTTGCATCATACAGCAGACACAGGAATTAAATCCATGCACAGATGCTTTAAATCAATAGCACTTAATTAGTTACTTTAAACATAAACAAAATCATAAATAGCCCTTCCCCAAGAAGTCTAGTTCTGCATCCCAAAGCCCAGCCATCCTCTCTCCCTGGTATGCCAGATGTAGGTAGGTATCCCAGAATCAGATGCCATTTGCCACATGCCAAGGTGCAGGTGTTTTCTCACCCTTCCTCCTGACAGGCGTCTGCCCCTTCACATCAACCCTCATGGCATTTATTTTCCTTTCCCCATGCTTTGTGAAGTGCTGTGTATACTTAGCAATGCTCTATAAATTAAAAGGATTGTCATGGATTTATTTCTAACATCTTTATTAATTTATTTTGAACTATGCCAGATGGAAGTGGCCTTAGTGTTCACAGCTGTTCCCTAGCAGCTAGGATGGGACTACTCACCAGTCTGAGAATGTAGCTGGAGTTCCTTTCCACAACCACTGTTCGTTTTGCCTCTTCAGTGTCACTTGGCTGAAGTAATTTCCCCTGGCCTGTTTGCCCTTTACTTTATGTGGTCATGTAGCTTGAGAGCAGCATCTGAAACCTGTGCTGCTTAAGAAGTTACAGGCTACGTTCCTCTTCTTCCTGGGATTTAATCACTTTGTGGGCAACATAAACTCACAAGACAAATTCAGAACATACTGGGGATGTGCAACAAGGAAAGAACCAGAAGGTTCACCTTGACAGCAGCCACATCACTGGCTTCTCTACCAGCCAGCTCCTCCCTCAGGACCAGTGGGAGGCTACTGGAAAAAGCCAATTAGCTACTCTAATTTCAACAGAGCATCCCTAGCACACTCCATGCCAGACTGCTGGTGCCCAAATGCTCCTGCCAGCTGTGGGATGTAGAATACTGTAAATTTCTGTTGTGCCAACAGTGCTCAGATCCTGCAGTGAGACTGTGGCACTTGAGAAACACCTGAGAGACAAATGGATGAATGATGTCTCTGAAATAAAATCTGTCACCCTGGTGCTGTTATCCTATCTCCCTCTGTCTCTCTCTCTCTCCCTTCCCTTCTTTTTATCATTCCCTTCCCTCCCTCTCTTGTTTGCTTGCTTGCTTTTTCTTTCTCCCCAGAGTGAGTTTCCCATCAGTTTCTTAGCCCAAGAATCTGGAGTTCAGGGACATTCTTGGAATTGATCTTAATTTTCTCACATTTCTGAAAGAATCTGAAAAGTCAGTGGAGGGCACTCAGTGCTCACCGTTCCTTTATAAGGGAAAGTGGTTTCTCTTTTTTTCTCTGCAGTGACACACCATCCTGCAGGTAGAAGAACTTGGTTCTGAGGAGGTTGTTTTCTCAGTGCCTCTTGGGTTATATGGGATCCAGTTTTCCACTCTGCTGCTAGGAAAAAAATTACATGCAATAGTGATGACTGAAATACTATTTGCTCTCTTTGCACTGTTTGCTCTATTTGCCACTCTGCTTCACTATGACTGGAAAAACAGATTTCTTTTCATCTTGGACAAGAGGTGTGTTTTATATTTTCAGTAAATTTTTAGAAGTATTCTATGCCTATTCTGTAAAACATTTTTTGAGATATAACAAACAGAATTGTCCCTGCATTCACAGGAGACTTTTCTTTCAGGCTCTGTTTCTTCTTCACCTCAGCAACACTGGTCTGAATAGCCAGAGACACATCAGCAGGAGCCCTCATCTCTGGGGAAAAAAAAGGAACTAAAGGAAATTTCAGAAGATTGAGCAAAGGGAGTCCAGAAGAGGCTGGACTCCAAAGTCAAGGTGTCCCAAAGCATTTTGCCATTGCTGCGGTAAATGGCTGAACCAGGCCAACACGTGAGGGGAAGGGAGAGCAGAAGGGATTGAAATGGGATGAACAACTAGGAAGGAAGACTGGGAGAGGGTTGGACTTCCCGAAGCTGCTGGGAAAATGTAATTTGGGGGTGATAAGAACTGCATGGAAGAAGGGTCACAACTTTCCACACCCTGCATTGATCCCTCATAGGGGCATCCCTGGACTTGCTTCTTTTTGCTTTCCAGAGCTCTTACCATTGCCCTGAAGCTCTTGCGTTGCCTTGGGCTATTTTCTGCTCTGTCTCTCCCTCCAGCTGACCTTCCCCACAATGCTGCTGGACTCTGCCTGCCTGTGGCTGAGATGTTTGTGCTTTCCCATCTTCAAGCACAGAACCACAGAGGAGATTTCTCTGTGTCCATCCCTTCTGTCAGTGTCTTTATGTGAACATAGGATGAAACAGGAACCACAAGATGCTTTACTGAAAAAAAAAAAAAAAAAGTATTTTAACAATTATTGGGAGAAGGGAAGCAGCAATGGGAATGCAGGAATCAAGGGGCTGAAACAGAGTGTTTTTCCTGTGTCTAGAGAAGGAAGAATTACGATCAATGAACACAACTCCTCGTATTTTTAGAGAAGAAGATGATAAAACATGATAGTATTTGGTCTAGACCCTTGAATCCAAGTTCCCTGGCATGGTCAGCCTTTACGTTACCTGTCAGGGTTGTCCTGAGGACAGGGCTTGCTGTGAAAACACTCAGGGTTTGCCTCAGGGCAGCCACATCCTGCCCTAAGCTTCAGGCACTTGCTTTCTTTTGGCTAATTTGGGATGCAGCTGCCAATGTGAGTGTAGGCTTCATCTGCATCTTCCACCTCACTGTGACCAGAGCCACAAATGCATGTGGAGACAAAGTGTGTCCTTTCTCTAGAAATGTAACCTGAGAAGACCTTGGATCTCCTCAGGCTCCAAGTCTCTGCATTCACCACCTTTGCCGTCAGTGCTCCCAGCAGGAACATTCCTGGGGAGAGCAGAGGTGAAGTGCTAAGTCAGAAGCAGGAGGGAAAGAAAAAGGAAATGACTGGTACTTAAAAATAGTCAACCCAGGAGGCATGAACCATGAACCAAAGAGAGATGCCACAAGAAAACCAGACATGGCTTGGAATACAAGAGAGAATGACTTAACTACAGATGCTTCCTCCAAGTCTGTCAGTAGGTGACAGTGATGTCACTGCTGGTGTGATCATGAATGTTAGTGCTGGTGCATCACAGCAGTGGCATTGTTTCTCTAGAGCGGAGAAGAGGAATACATCCTCTTCTGGAATGCATCCACAAATTGTTGCTTCACTCTGAACCATGAAGCTGTTTGTGAAGAAGGCTCTTTTATTCCCTTTCTTGGTGATAGCACAGCCCCCATATTTGCAGTACCCTTAAAAATCCATGTCACTTTCTTCCTAATCCACAGAATAAAGAACATCCACCAGTGGAATGGCACACACTGCCACTAACTTTTGTTCCAAAAGCATCGTGTGAAGGACTGCTGAAGCAAAGCCTGTGTGAAGATGTGCTACCAGCTGGGCACAGTGAGGTTTGCTCTTGTGTCCCTTATGAACATGGGCAAAAGATACCTGCCTCCTCATTCCCCAGGCTCCTTCTCTGGCTGAAAGGTTCATATTCCTTGCATTAAATAGGTATCTCTGAGGCTGGGCTTTCATGGCATCTGAAATGGCAAGCTGCTCTTGCTGATTTGTGACTGCAGATTATCCTGGAGGGCTAAAGCTCTTGCCACCCCCAGCCACGCCACTGGGTTATTTTTAAATTGGATTGCTTCCCTGACCCAGTGCTCAGCACAGCTCCACAAACAGCAAGGCTGGCACAAATGAGGGAAAATTGCAGTTTTGGGCAGGTGGTAACAAACATCTCAGCATTCCTCAAGTTGGTAATGCCACCATGCAATCCATGCCATCAAACAGGAGCCTGGGGGGAGCAGCAGGGAGTTAAGAGAAAGCAGAACAAAGGCATTAAACAGAAATGTGCCCTTTTTTGCACACAAAAGAGCCTCAGAAGAGGCTCAGTTTAGCATCTTTTCAAAGCGGACTTCACATAGCTGGAATTGGTGCTCATCTCTTGCTAAGTACCTCTGAGAAGTGGAGCTGCCAGATTTCTACTGCTCTGCTCATCCCATTGGAGCTCTGGTTCCACCTTCTTTTCTTCCAAAAGTCTCATCTCCTCTTCTGTGTGTACTTGTGGTCACTTCCTCCTGAGCTCTGCTTGTGGTGTCAGTGCAGCTCTGTGTGCAGCTGCAGGGGGATGCAGACTGAAATTTCAGTGGCTGAAAAGTAATGGTTTCCTAGTCTACCCTTGGTTATTTTTAGCTGGATCAGTTCTTGATGCAATCCACTGACACAAACAGCTGTGTCAGTGTTACAGGAGGAAAATGTTTGAGGGAAACAGAGGAGAGGCTTAGCTGAGTTTAATTATCACTGGTACCAAATGGGAAACCACAATCATGAATGATTGCTCTAAATGCCTGGCAGCAGTTATTTAAACTTCTCTACAGCTCCCTGTCTTACTTGTTATATAAGAAACAAAGCCTAGGGAACTTCCCAAGTCCATGCCACAGAAAGGAAGTGGCCCTGTGCCTGGTATAGCTGCCCCTTGCTGCATGGATCAAGGCAGGCTGAATGCAGGGAGCCTGAACAAGTCTGCTGGCAGGCAAAGCAGCCAGGGTTCCTCACAGCTTCCTTGCCTGTTGTAGTTTGGTCAGCCTGTACATTTAAAGGTCAAGTCCTGCCGAGACCAAAATTTGCCAGGACACCAATGATAAGCAGCTACCCAGAAGTGTGCAAAATGCGTTTATAGTCATCAAAAACCATGGCTGAGACACATGCTAAATATTGACCACTACCAAAAGACAATGTTTCTGACACAAAGATGGAAAGTATAATTAAAAATTTAGAGATTTATTCAGAAGCAAAAAAATCTATTTAGTCAATTAAAATCACTTACTGAGGCATATGACATGCTCCTTGGTGCCTGACCAAGAAGCTGCTGTGGGCAGGGAATGGTGGGGATGCTGTTCCGTGAAGACTTTGTTCCATCCAAAGAAGTACAGAAAGGATTCACGGAATAGAATGGTTTAGGTTGGAAGGAACTTTTAAAGGTCATCTGGTTCCATGGGCAGGGACACCTTCCACTATCCCAGGTTGCTCAGAGCCCCATGCAGCCTGGCCTTGGGCACTGCCAGGGATGGGGCAGCCACAGCTTCTCTGGGCAACCTGTGCCAGGGGCTCACCACCCTCACAGGGAACAATTTTCTCGCAATATCCAATCTAAACCTGCTCTCTGTCAGTGTGAAGCCATTCCCCCTTGTCCTGTCACTCCAGGCCCTTGTAAATAGTCTCTCTCCATGTTTTCTGTAGGCTCCCTTCAGATGCTGGAAGGCTGCAATGAGGTCAAACAAAACTACTCAGAATCTTTTAGGTTGGAAAACACCTTTAAGGTCATTAAGTCCAACTACAAACCATCTTAATTTGCATGGTCCATTTGTGCGTTTTCCTTTCTTTATGATGATCAGGACTGCAGCAGCACTCTGAAAACATGGACAAAGCTACCACATCACCACTTATTTTGGGACTGTCCTAGGAAATTCTACAAAGCTGTGCAAGTACTGGTGCTTCTTTTATCTCAGAATTGCATCAGGGATGACAAGCAGCAATTTCACTTAGGAAATTTTTAAAAGCCTTTCAACCTTATACCTACAGTTTTTTTAAATAAGAAGAAATCCAAGGAAAGATGTAAGCACAGGGATGTGTTTTCCATGGATGATGCACGTCATCATGGCAACCTCCCTCCTGCACAGTCACCTGAAGTTTCACAACTCTGGTTCAGACTAAATACCAATGACCTGATTCATTCTTCCACTGAATTTCACTGTTAATAATTGTAAAAAGCACATTTAGTGCCATGACTCAGTAGGCAAAATATCTCTTGGCTGAAGTTTGCTGTGGTCCACACCCACCTCCAGCAAAGGCTGTCCATAAATGGCCCCATGGCTCCATAACCAGGCTCCTGACACTCACTTTTCCCAAGGATTAATGTCTGAGCTTGCAGGGGAATTTGTCACCAGTACCTGCAACAAAGAAAGCCCCCCCCCAGTTATGTTATGCTTTAAAATAGCATCCCATACCTCCCAAAACTGAAGTCATCAAAGACACATGGCGAATTCCCAATGTACAAGCTGCTGACTTTTTGGAGGAGGGCATTAAGACAAATGCTGATTGATCTGTGAGAGGTCACAAAGGAAAGCAAAGGTTTATTAGTACGCCTGCATGTACAGCAGTTGACTGGAAATCTTCAGGGGGTCTGGAATTAAAAAAAGCCCCAAACCTTCACATTACAACCACTTTCGTAGCTCTGAAATCAAAATCATGGAAAATAAGATGAGAGACCCTGTTATCAAATATTTAATTCCTGGGAGTCCCAAGTGGCCAGCATTACATAAAATTTCTATGAGGAATGAATGCCATTCCATGAATAACTTGCATGTATTATGTAAAATATTTATTGAAGACAAATTCCATTCCATTAATAGCTTGGATGCTGTTTACTTTGAATAACAGCATGTTCATCTACTGTAAATTAACTTCTGCCCAATGAAATTACTTTTATCCCTCAGTCTATCACCCTTTTCACATATAAAGTTTATGAACACATTTCTGCTTTAAAATACAGCTTTCATAAGAGCCTATATATGAAAAAGAACACTAAATGCAGCTCATTAGTTGCTCTGGACAAAGGCTCAGTGGGAGGTGAAAGCAAATGCAACAGAATAAAATATCTGTGATGAAGAACCTCTAAACCTGGCCTAGGGTTGAGAGACAACCACAGGAACATGAATTAGAGCTCAAGTCTATGTCCCACTGAGTTAAACTTTAAATTAGCGGACCATCCCTTAAGTGAGGTCCCATCTGCAGGTGTTTCTTAGCTATATTGAAGGGTTAGAGTTGTCTCAGCAACTTTAAAAAGCTGGATCATTGGATGTAAGAAAAACATTAATTATTCCACCACTTTCCACACATAGGCCCTTTTCTATAAAGCTGCTCTGCACATAGATTTGGAATATGCACCAGGACATATACACACATATAAAATCTTTAACAGTAAATCCTGGTATTGTATAATATCTAATATAATTACATTGGATAGTGTGTGCAATAAATTAATCTCCCTTTTTCATATACAGTTAGCAAAACTACAGCTATACATATACAAATACCCTTTTCCTCTAACTGATCCAACCAGCTTTTTAGAGAAACTACATCATCTGTGTTTCCTGACTCTGTTGTTTCAGATTATGACTTGCTCACCTTTTTTCCCTCTGGGTGCCTGTCTTCTCTGGTCTTACAGCTTCACTCTTTCTATTCCACACATCCCTTCCAGAAGACAAACTGCAAAATCATAGGAGTGAAACCGCTGATTTTTTGAAACCACAGTTCTCAGAGAAAGAGATATTAACCCATCCTTGTCCTGAGCAAAGATTAACTGAGTATTAAAAAAAAAGTAAAATATTATATATAAGTAATACCAAACTGAGAATAGATCATCAAACAAAACAAGGAAAGCCCCTTTTTCAAATATTGAAGCAGAATATAGGGCATGATTCACCTACGCCTAAGGTAGACACCTAAAACAGGTCGGATGAATCACCACCTAACAGTGTCCATTTCTTCCAAGACATTTCAAAATCAAAGACAGTTCAGAAGCTCTCTTTGATTTTAATACATATTTTCAGATTTGGGGATTAATTTCATGGTGTAGTTTTGACAGGCTTGGGGATGGTTTTTTTTTTTCTCTAGTTTTTGAAAGAAATACAGCTTTTTTTATCCCACTGTCAGCTGGCCATTAGGAACCAACTGTCTTATTTCAACCAAATACAAGCATGTAGAGGAATCAGAGATGAGCAGGTTCCTATATCCAAGAATCAATGCTCCTGTAGCCAGGGATCAGTGGCCAGGTGCAACAGAGAGTTCTTATGGGCATCCCCATGGGAGGATCAGCAGGGAGAACCTGCCTCGTCCATGCTCTTAGGCATTTTAAGTGGTATCTTGTCGAGGCAGTAGGGATAAAATACCTGCTTTGGGGTCACTGAATCTGTTGGGAACATGGTAATGATATAAGGATAATCTGGAGGAGAAGAGTGTTGGGAAGAGAGTGAAATAAATGGCAGCAGAATGTGTCAATTTTATAATAAAGTGTTAATTAGACTATTGGTAATAACGAGCTCTCTAGTTTGTGCTCTTTAGACTGGAAGGATTTAGTGTTGTAACACTGCACATGACCATGATTTTACTGAATAGCTGAGACAAGGAGGCTACATAACTCCAGCTGATCCTGGAAGCTGGTGCTCCTAAAATGAAGGAGATATTTACACCTGTTCTTTGGCAGCCCTTCATCCTCAGGAACTCCTGAAATGCTCCCACTCCTTAGAAATTTGGAACATCTTCCCTCTAGGAGAGTCTCTAAAGCAGGTTGCCAGAAATCAATCAGAAATTAATTACCTTCTCCTATGAGGACAGGTCTAGAGAATTGGGGTGGTTCAGCCTGGAGAAGACTCCGGGGAGACCTTATGTGGCCTTTCAATAGGCAGAGGAGACAAGATGGAGACAATCGATAAGGGCCTGGAGTGACAGGATGATGGGGAATGGCCTCACACTGACAGAGGGTAGGTCTAGATTAAATATGAGGAAGAAATGCTTTACGGTGACGGTGGTGAGGCCCTGGCACAGAAGCTGTGGCTGCCCCATCTCTGGAACTGTTCCGAGCCAGGCTGGATGGGGCTCAGAGCAACTTGGGCTAGTGGAAGGTGTCCCTGCCCATGGCAGGGGGTGGAATGAGATGAGCCTTCAATGCCCCTTCCAACCCAAACCATTCTCTGATGCTGTGATCTGGGAGCCCCTGAGGAGAGAGCTGGTGACATTCCCGAAGCTGGGAACCGAGGACAAAGCCCCGGAGCCCCAGAGGGACTCAGGTTTCCCGGCAGGGCTGGGATGCACAAGGAGTGAGCCGCACATGCCGGTTCCTGTGCTGGGCAGGCCCTGGGGGCCTGGCACCTGCTCCCTGCACCCACGCAGGAATCCTGGCCAGCCCCACCACGGGAAGCTGCTGGGAATGGGGAATGGGCTGCAGCACAACACGGCCAGGGAGAAGCAAGAAGTCAGCACTGGCAAGGGACAGGGACAGCAAACAGCCAGGCTGGTGCAGGCTGGGTGTGGGAACACAGCTGCAGCGATAAGGTTTGGAAAACAACCTCTGGGAAGAAAGCAGGAAACTGGGTTTATTGAGTCTAGAGGAGAAGGCTGTAAATAGGGCAAGACATGACAGTGCAGCTGCAGTACCTGAGAGGTTGCTGTTAAGGGAGGCAGCAATTAACTGCTGGAAGGACAGAGGTAAGATCTAACTAACTTAATTTCCAGGAAAGAAAAGAAGGCAGCAGAAAAGAACAAGAGTACATGTTGCAAAAACTTTCTCTGAGTAAGCCAGAGCTGGAAAATATTATCTGGGAGGTTGTGAAACCCTCTGCACCAGAAGTTAACCAGACATCACCATGCTCTCTCAGTAGAGGATGGACTGCCAAGCTAATTCCCAAGCTAGCCTTTGGAAAGCAAAAATCCATCTACCCTTTTCAAAAATAAACTAAAAAGTACCCATGCATGTCACATGGATCATTAAACATATGGGTGATGAGTAAAGTTTTGCATTTGGAAAACAAAGCTACCATAGATTTACAAATCCTGATTTCAATGCAGGCATTCAAATTCAAAACATTATTTGGATAGAAAACTTTGATCTTTCCTCTCAAAGAAACCTGCAGTTGTTGAGCAGGTAAATGCTGCCAAGATCTTTTAGTGCTATTTCTGTCCCACGGCACCTCCTTCCTGCAACCAACCTTTCTCCCCTGTTATATCCTGCTCCCATGTAGAGAAGCAGCAGCCACTTTATATTCTGTGGAGCACTTTTACTCCTGCTGAAATATCTGAGGGCTGGGCCAGTCTCACAGCAAGATCACAGAATCATCTCTCCACCATTTGATGATATAGGACCATAAGATACCTCAGGCACTGGAAGAAAACCCAGACCATGTGGTTCTTTTTGGGATTCACTGCAGAGAATACTCCTAAGATAGAGAGGCATTCTGACCTTCCCAGTCCATCAGGAGTAATTAATGCCACCAGGACATCTTATTGTAATGGAGTAAAGGACATAGAATTAGGGTTTTTTTGAGTTGATGAATGGGTATCTAAGCTGAAGCAATCTAGGCAGATTCCCATAGGACATATACGTGGAAAGGGTTTTGATGGGAATTCCGACCTGACTCAGAATCAGCTGGTTGACCCTGGGGAAAAGCCTGATCTGTTTGCTCCCAGTGAGAAGAGCTGGAGCCAGGATTCACCCCTTCCTTACTCATCATCAGTTAAAGCATCTCAGCAGGAAACCAGCCCCTGAAAGAAATGTGCTCAGTGAGACCTGCCAGGAAGGCCTTCCAGCACCAGAGGTGAGATAAAGGCACAGATTTCCAAGCCCCTGCAGGGAATCCTGCAGGGAATATGAGGCACAACCCCCAGATCCCAGAGGATAATGTGACAGTGCTCCAGGACACTGGGGTAGCAGGGGTTGGATGTGAGCACCCTACTAAGATGATGGGTCTCATATGGCTGTGACAAGGCACAACAACCTTTTAAACAACATTTTGGCCTTTGTTTCTTTATTCTGTGATTCCTTGGGGACTTCAACTCATGTGTCTCAGGAGGTGTGTGAAAATGTCAGAAGATAAAGAGTCTGTGACAATGCATGTTGACCACAGGACAAAGATGTGGCCCCTACCACAGCCACTTTTCACCCTGAGCCTTCACACTAATGCAGCAAGGTTTTTGCTGAGGCAGAAACCCCACTCTTTTTATAGGGTCATTCTGCTTTTATTTGCAGGATTATTCTTGTGCTATTCTTAACTAAATGCAAAGAAAAATGAAAATATCACACAGAGTGAATCACAAAAAAAAGGCCCCTTTTGTGTTTTAAGAACAAAAGCTCAATTCATGCAAAACCTGCCTTTGCTCATAGGAAACAATCCTGCTTCAGTCTGCCCTTCCAACAACAGCATCAGAACTCCAAACAAACAATGCTTCCCCACCCTGTGTGCATGATTGTATTTCTGGGCAAGCTCACATCCATCATTATAATCCATCTTATGGAAAGGTTGTTTTTTTCAGAGCTGAGGGGAGTGAGTGGCACAGGGAATCCTCTCTCAGTATACAACAGGCCAGCATCATGGAGTTGATTCAGGAATATGTACTCATTTTTCTATTATGAGATTGGTTATCTAATTACAGGACTCATGTTATGTAAGTTTAGGGCCTCCAGGAAAGCCACCACCTCTGGATGGCTAAAATCCCAGAGATTTTATTTTTTTTAAAATAGTGAAACTACAATAAAACAAAAATTTCTTGAACATTCTGACAGAAAGCCTACCAATAATCCAGTGCCCAAAACAAAAACTACCTGAGGGAGGAAAAGGGAAGTTCCTCTCTAAACCTGCTGGTGCAACACCAACATAGAGGAGCAGGCACAGCAAACAGAATGATGTTTGGGCTCACATTCTGTCACCTGCATGCAGCCAGGAATCAGCATCAGGAACAGCTTCCCATGAGGGGGCACTACACTATCACACATCCAGGCTTGGAGATCTCCACCTCCAGAACTTGTACAAAGACACTGAACAGAGAGGGAAGTACATTTCAGCTTTGTTTATCTTCCTCTGCAAAAGCTAAGATGATGAAGAATTACTGTGTTTATTGGGTTAAAAGCTACACCACTATGTGTAATTCTGTCCACCAAGAGAACTGGAACAAAAATCCCAAATACAAATCTGGAATGCAGGAAGAATTTGGGATTTCTGAACTTTTAAGGGCTTGATTTCACAGTTACTGAAGAGGACCTTAATACAAACTAAGGACTTCTCTGTCAAAATTTTTAATAAAAAGGGGATCAATCCTCTTTACTGGCGAATGGGACAGATTAATTTGTGGGCTGGATTTTGTGTCTAGCCAGCAAGAGGAAGGAAACTGAAGGGCTGGCTTGAGTCACTACTACTGACCTACACCACAAGCAACAACACTTAAACGGATATTATCATATGAGAATCTCAGCTAGGAAGAAGTGACTTCCTGGCACCATGGTTTCTGAGTGCAGAGAGTGCAGGATAGGGCTGGGGCAGAGGCAGCTGTTCTGAGCACGGGGCAAAGCTGCTGAGTATCATCCTCCCACCTGGCTGTACACACTCGGGTGCTGCAGCTGCCTGCATGGAGAAAAGCCTGCACACGTGCAGCTCCTACACAGCCACGTCTCCATTTCAGCTGAAACCAGAGGAATATTTGGCAACTTCTTGAAGGCAGCATGCTGCTTTCATTTCTACTCTCCATGCTCAGTTTTGTAGAGGTCCCAACTATTTCAGGATATCTGAACTAGAATAAGAGTACCTGCAGTGGTGTGACTTTGTCCATATTCCACCTTTCCCACAGTAATTTATTTCTAGAGTTCACAGCTGGAGCAGAAAGCCTGAAGAAATGACCACAGGGTAAGTGGCCTACCTGAATGTAAAAGAAACAGAAAGGCATAATGAAGTGCTCTAGATGTTCTGGTAGTGAGTGGATTTGTTTGTTCAGAATCATTTCTACAGAAGCCTTTGAGTGTCACCTCCCCACCCCCAACCCAACTGAAGTTATTGCCATCAACACCCATATATAAAAGTGCAGAGGAAGACTGATGAACTTCTTGCTTTAGCATTTCCAAGTGGAGTCAAAGTATTTTAAGAGCCCCAGTAATGTTCTCCAGGACTTCTCAAAGGGGAAAAGCAGACAATGCTCATTATCTTGGATACCCTCCCTTTAGGCTTTTTCTCACTGCCAAGGAAGGAAGGGAAGCATCAGTGTGTAAGGTGCAGGTAAGGCTGAGACCCCAATCCCGCAATTACCTGCAAATGGATGTGAAAGGTATCATGGGCTGGGCAACAATTTACTGCAGCATGAAGGCTCTGCTTCAGATTTGCACAAGGATTTAGCTGCAACAGAAGAATCAGAGAAGGACTTAAGGAAAAATCCATCTTTTTGAGGAGTTCAGAATCCCACAACATTGAAATTGAAAGCTCCACAGAAAACCAAAAGCTGCCTCCCAAAGGCTCTGTGGGAGCTGCAACTGGGGATTTCAGTCTGGGAAAGGCACCTGCCAGGAACAAGCAACCTGGGGTATGCTTTGCATGGAGCATCTCAGGGCAGAAAAAGGATAAGCCCAAAGATTTCCTTGAAATTGTAACTGAACTTGGAATTGCCTGTATCAACTGCTGTAAAAGAAGAGCTGTTTGGAAATGTTTGCATAACCAGTTCTCATGAAGATTTTCCAAAATTTGTGTGTGGTATTTCTGGATGTATCAATGTTGTGATCCTGGATTACGAAAAATTAAAACTTTGGATGATGGAGAAAAGGCAAAGCCCACTAAAATCTTTCCTATCTTCCTCTTTGTCTGACTACTCATTCCCCCAGTACACGTTTTTTTCCTCCACAATGTATTTTTGCCCTTTTGGAGGCATCTCAATAGTATGAAGCACTAGGGTTTTTCAACCTGCTTTTATTTTTTTTGGATTCTTGTCCAGGGGTATTGCCTTGTGTTTCCTGGGTATCTTTTGTGGATCCTCCTCAGGTAGCCAATGGACCTCCTGATATGTGTGGACTCCAGGCCAGAAATTACTGCAATAATTTTGTTCAGTAAAACACACTGCTGACACTCAGTGTAAAGTACCAAAAATACCCTCATTAATGTTCTTGCTCATAAACCACACTTTCCCTGCACTATGCATTTTCAAAAAAAAAAAAAAAAAACAAACAACCCTTTAAATTCAAGTTTGTGTTATTTACCTTCATGGACACTTCCATATAAATCCTCCCATATATCAATCAGGCAGTAATATGGCTTAAAAAGCCATATATTCAACAGGAAGAAAAGAATGTGATGTTATACTGCATTATGTACATCAAATGCAATTTTTGCAAGTTTGGCTGAGGGAAATCCTCCTAAAAACATTCCACGGAGAATTCCATCACTTAGTTGCCAAGTGCTACTGGTGAGCAGGAAACAGGTTGCTTTAACCACAGTATGTATCATTAAAGGGTGGTAACTGCTTCACAGACTATATCCCCTTTAGCATAGCTCCTTTTTTCCTCCCAATATTTATTCAAAGGAGTTTCTTGCTTGTGAAAGGAATCCATATTTTATTAATTCCAAATAAAAGGATTTTAATGGAATTGGACTAACTTTCAAGCTATTTCCTTCTGTCTTTTGAAAAATAATATATAAGCAAATAGATGTGAAGTTTTCAGTCATGTTTTGCTGCAGCTGTTCATGTGAAATCTTGAGCAGGAGATACATTGTGGGGATTTCTTTCCTCAGTTTGTAGCAATGTTTTGAGCAGTAGTTTGTCTTCCCTTCTGTCCAGCTGACGTTTTTTACATCTTTGGCAAAACTGAAGTAACATCTGAGGTGATCCTGGCTGCTTTTGCTGTTTGAGACTGGCCATTCCTACCCTTAATTCCATCCAAATTAGGGAAGGTCAACAAAACCAACATTTGCATGTGTGCAGCCCTCACCGTTCTGAGGCTGTGGCATGAGCAGTCATTTCCTTTGATACCAAAAAAAAGATATCAAGATAGATTTCAAGGTATCAAGAAAGATTTCCCAGCTATAAACTGAGCTGGGAAAAGCACATCAGCCTCTCCCAGGCCATCATCCACAAGTTCAGAACCACCTCATCCCTTTTAGAGCAGGCAGGAGCTTATCATCAAGCAAACTATTGGGCAATGTCAGGCTACAGGATGTGTGCAAATAAAAACATCCTTTTACCACCTTACATGGCTGACAGGCAGGGACTCTCCAGACCATCCCTTACTGTCATGCCCCTAAGAGTAGCCTTTGTCTCAAGACAGTCTGCAGCCTTGTCCATTTGTTTAAATTTCCTGGCTGACCCTGTTAAAAAAGGGGAATTTAGCTGCGTAGGACAACGGCCTGACATGTACATCAGGCCAGGCACTGCAATTACTTTGGAAAAGATTTGTACAACACACTAAACGGGCCATTCACACTTAATCCATCCAATGTAGACCTTCACTGTAACTGGTACATAATTCATCATGACAAAAAATGATCCCTTCGTGGTTCATATGCAGGTATCCTTTTGTACAAACAATTCTGCTTTTTGTATGGGAAAAAAAAAACCCCAAAAAACCCAAACCTGGATGAAGTTGAATAAGGATTATAAAGATATATAATTTGGGTGGATTATTTTGCTCCTGGTTTTACTCCATAAGAGCAAAGAAAGCATTGTATCTAGGTCAGTTGTTGGCTGCAGGCTATTTGGAATTCCCAGAAGGCACTTGAGAAGGAAATGGGGGACGACCATTTAGGTGTGTTCTTGTCTTGGGATGTTCATTTCTTTGACAATATGGGTTTTGTCTCAGAGCTATTGTTATTAACTCAGGGTGTGGAAGCAATATAGATTTATAATTACACACAGAAAAGCATTTCTATCCATATTACCCAAAATAATTCCTCAGTTCTGTGTTTTCCTAAACTCTTCTGTCACAGCTGCCTGGACATCTCCTTGAACAAATTTCAGGAAACATCTCAGAAATCAGTAGATTTCTGTATGAAGCCCATAGTTTCTTGAACACCTGGGATAAATGATGCCTTTTCCAGACAACAGCAGCAGTTCACCCTTGTAACTGCATCCACAACTGGCACTGAAGTGGATTCTCAGACTAAGACAGACCCAAGCTCACTCCCACAAATTAAGAACTTCCTGTAAACAAACCAAGAAACAAAAGCTAAAAATAGTCCTCCTCCCTAGCTGCTGTCATGTGGGGAAATCAGAGCATGAGATACACCTCAATCTGAAGCAGGGAAGCTCCAACCCATATCTCTGAGGAATGGTTAGCACACTTAACCTAATCCCCCACTGCATTCTTTCTACCCTACCAGACTGAATCCAAAGGCACGGCTGAAGGGATAAAGAACCTCTGTCAATGATAAAGCTGTATTCAAGATTAAAAAAAAAAAAAAAAGCCCTGTTGTGCAACTGTGACACTTTTTCCTCTCTTACCTCAGCACCTGCTGTAGCTCAAGGTGCAGGCACCCATAAAAGCAACAAGAGCACTGCGGTACCAAAGCTGAGCTGAGGCCAGGGGAGGGTCTGCACTTCTCTCAGCCTGCTGCAGTGAAAATGTAGTGCTGGAGGCTGGGACTCTGCTCCCTGCTAAAGGGAAGCTGTAAACAAGAGGCAGGAAAGGAGATGACTGGATTTCAGAAGGGCCGCTACCGCTGGATGTTCACAGCGAGCCTTGGAGGAAATGAAGGAAACGGCCAGGACTGACTCACCGGGGATGGGTGTTGTACGTGCTGCTTGTGTAAACTTACTGTGCTGCACTTTCCAAGCTCCCTGTTCTGCTCCCTTCCATTATTACCAAGGTTTTTCATGCCATGTGCACAGGTTTGCATCTCTTGGAGTAAGGTACAGCTGCTGAACACGCCTAGGGGAGCAAACTGGCTTTCCAAGGAGGGCTCAAGCAGATGATTTTAGTTTTGAGAAGACCTTTAAACAACTCTCCTCCTCTGCAGTACTTGTAATATGTCAGCAGCTGAACCAAGTTACGGTTCTGTCCTGCTGCCTGCCTGGATTTTGGCATGCCCAGCTGTGTGCTCTGCATATAGAACTAAACCCAGAATAGCGTCTGGGCAGAGCACAGAGGATGTGACAGCACAGGACTTGAGTGGGACGGGATGTTTACGAGGAGGATGTCGGAGTGGGAGGTTCATGTCCCAACTCCCTCTCAGCCTGACATAGCACAAGGCACTGCAGGAAGCAGGAGCACTTCAGGGTACAGGGGCCTGCTCTTGGCGCTGCTGGGCCTCTTTGCAGGGAAGGGACATACCAAGGATATATATATATATGTATACACATCAAGGAAGTATGTCCTTGAAGGGGAAGGGGCATACTCAGCTGCTGCAGCCCAGAGTTTGGTGGGCTAAGAGACAGTGCAGCCCAATCCATGTGGGATACTCACAGCACGGGACAAGCTCTCTCCTGCTCACACTCTGCTGGGCTCCAGATGTGTTCAGGCACTCAAACTCTGTGCAGCAGGCAGAGAAAGCAAGGCATCTCAAGATATGATTCACGAAATCAAACAGAAAACTGCCTCTGCAGCTGCTGGAGGTGCCAAGGACAGGGGGAGAAGTTAAGTCCACCTCAAACAATAAGTTGCCCTTTTCTGGATAGAAGAGGAGCAGTTTTCCAGTCAGGATGACCAACCAACCCGCTGCCAACTGCTAGGAACTTAGAAAATGCAGTGGGAAGATGCACTAGCTATTTATATAATGTCCCAGAGGTCTGACAACAAACTAAGAGAGACATGATCCAGAGTCAGCTCTTGGGAATTTGAAGCATCCCTTTCCTTGCATCTGACTGTAAATGCAGTGATGTGGAATGGGAATCTCAGCTGCCGGAGCTGATCCACTCTGCTGAAAAAAAGCACCCACACAAACGAATGAAAGGAGTAATTGAATCAGAAGGCAGCAGCAGGCACAAGGATGATTCTGTGGCTGGCCAGGGAAGAGTTCTCAGTGTGCCACTTCTGAGGGGAGTTTTCCTGCCTGGGAGACTCCACACGGGTCTCACGGGTTCAGGATTGCCTGGATGTGGGCTGCAGGGCTTCTCTAGTGGTTGAGCCAAGCTCCCTCTTTTGCTGAAATCTTCACAGCACATCCTGGAGGATACACACCTGTAAGCCTCAGGAAATGATTAGGAGAAAAAAGCAGACTTAGCAAAGAGACAACTCTGGATATAAATTTGAAGAGACAGAACATATAATATAGGTAATGCCTTCCTCAGCCACCTGTCTAAGATAATTCTTTGCACACTTTGTGATTTTGGTGAGAAAAGACCTATATAATACACCATGACAAAGTGCATCCTCACATCTATCCTGTATCCCTTTAAGCACCTGTGTACTTAAAAGAGACAGAAATCCCAGGAGTTATAGCTGTGGACTCAGCTTTTTAATGCAGCCTACAGTTTTTCTATGCATGGCCCGGTCAATTTCTTCTGAATTCAGGTGTTTCATTAATTTACATTTATTTGATGATCGTGGATGTAATCCTGCCTGGGATCCTGTAATCCTATAAAGCCTAGGACAATCCAACACTTTTCCTTAAACCCCTAGCTGCCTGCTGGGAGGAAACACAAAGGACTCACACATTTGAAGTTAAGGAGTGGGAAAACAAGAGACCCAAATAATGAAGGAAGTTTAAAAAATAGAAAGCATCTCTGAGTCTTAAGCTGGTGCAGAGACCTGAGCTGGTGGGTCAGGTGCACTCCAGAGGCAAACAAGTGCTGTGTCCAAACCTGAGCGGGACACAGTTATTCCAGAATCACAGAAAGTCCTGAACTGAAAGGGACCCACAAGGATCATCCAGCCCAACTCCTGGCCCTGCACAGACACCGCAGCGATCCCACCCAGCGCCCGCGTTGTCCAAATGCTCCTGGGGCTCTGGCAGGCTGGGTTCCGTGACCACTGCCCGGGGGAGCCCGTTCAGTTCCCGACCACTCTCTGCGTGAAGAACATTTCCTAAAACCCACCCCAACCCTCCCCTGAGACAGCTCCACCCTAACCCTGCCCTGACCCAGCTCCAGCCGTTCCCTGGGTCCTGTCCCTGGTCACAGAGAGCAGAGATCAGAGCTGCCCCTCCTCCTTGCAGGGAAGCTGCGGAACTGCTGCGAGCTCTGACCTCAGTCTGCTCCAGGCTGAACAAACCCAGCGACTCCAGCCGCTCCTCGTCCGGCTTTCCCTCTATAGGACCTTCACCCATATTCTTACTACTGAATTTATTTTAAAAAAAATAAAATAAAATAAAAATTAAGGGAAATACCTCCGGCTCGGACGCCCTGCCCTGCCCTGCCCCGCCGCGGTGCCGTCGGAGCGCGGCCGCCGGCCCCGCACGCCAATCAGGGCGGCCCGCCTGCCTTCCTGTAGGTGTGCCCGGCTCACCTGGAGCCGCGCTCGGCACTCATGACATACCTGCGGCCCCGCGCAGGGCGGCGGCGAGGCGGCGGCCGAGGGGCGCCGGGGGGGGCTCCGCGGGCCCCGGCCCCGCCATGTGAGCCCGGCGCAGGTAAGGGCGGCCGCCGGGGGCGGCGTTGCCGTGTTCCCGGGAGAGGCGTTGCTGTATTCCCGGGATCGCCGTTGCCGTATTCCCGGGAGAGGCGCGGGCCTGGCGCCGCATCCCCGCGGAGCCCAGGCCGGGACGGACGAAGGGGCGGCTGCCCCGCGGGGCCGGGGCGGGCTCCGGGAGCGGGGGGGGGGAGACGGGACCAGGAGGACAAGGAAGAGGGGGGAGGGAGGGCGGCCGACCCACCATTTTAGGACCCGAGGGGGACGGGAGGAGGGATCTCCGGGGAAGGCGAACGTCGCTCCTCCCGCGGCGGGCGCGGTGCGGGTGCGCGGTGCGGGCGCCATCCGGAGCGCGGAGCCCCGCGGGGTCGGGGGCGCAGCGAGAGCTCCGGTGCCTCCGGAGGGGCGGCGAAGGGGGCTCCGCTCGGCCCGGCCCGGGGCAGCCCCGGGGGCCGCGCTCTTGGCTGGTGGGGGCCGTATCTCGGCGGGGGCTCCGCGCCCCGACGGCAGCGCCCGTCCCGCCCGCCGCCCCCCGCTCCCCCGCCCGTGCCGGCGGCAGGGAGGGCCCGGAGCGCAGGCCCGCTCCCAGGCTCGGCTGCCAAGCGGCAGCAGGAGTCTCTTCCCGCAGAAATGGTGCCTCCCACGCAGGAGCGAGATCCCACGGTGTTCGCCGGGTTTTCGGCTCCCGCCGGGAGCTGCGGCCCGGGAGTGGCGGAGGTGCCGTGCTTGAACTCTGGACACCTCCTTGTTTTCCTCCTTGCCTCGTGACTTTTTATGGCCTGTCACGGAGGGAAGGCAGAGGAACGAGAGGCGAGATCCTTGCCTGCCGCTCGCTTCCTGCCTCCTTCCCGCAGCCGCTCCGATGGCAGCCCCAGCGCCCCAGCCAACCTGCCAGGGGGGGATTCGGAGCTCCCACGGCGCTCGCCTGACCCATCGTCCTCCCAGCACCCATGCTTGTCGTTGCTTGATGCTTCGTTTATTCCCAGATATTGGCTAAGACTGCGTCTAACCTGGTAGGAATTACGAGGTCAGAGATCTGAGTTCGGCTCATCGGTGTTGACTTGTTGCAGACTTTGCCAAGGCGCTGCTGGATATGGATGCCCGTGTTGGCTTCTCCTGGAGCTGGGTCCCTGTTCCTCCTGGACTAAGCCACATGTGTAATGTGTTGTTGGAAGTTTTGTGATCTGATTCTTTGGTGGTTTGGGAGTTTCTCATAGCCTAAGTGACTTGGAGATGGCTTGGATAAGGGTAGAGTCCTTTTAAAGGGTTGCACCGGAGGGAGGTGGCTTGGTTTGGAGGAATAATGTATGGGTGACCCAGATTTTAGAACTGCACCTGAATTGGGCAAGGAGGAGGCATCCATAATCAGACTTGAAGTTGTAACAAATCTGAGTTCTTAGTTATTGTTAATGTTAGGAAGAGCTCAGCTGGCTTCTGTGTAGAACCTTATTTTGCCAGGTGGTGATTGAGAGTAGCATTTGTCCTGTCCTGCCTGTACAGCCAGGCGACTGGGCTTGCGGTTGATGCTCCTGCTCTCTGAAATAGTGGGACACAAATACTTCCTCTGGGAGCTTCTTGTGCATCCTGGTAGATTTTGACGGTAAGTCTGTTCTGCAGGCCTTTTTTTTTTTTTAAATTCTGCTAACTTTAGATGGATGTTCTTGTGCTTGTTCTCTTGAATCTTATCCCTTCTTATGGTATGCTTATTTCATGTCCTTTTAGCAGGAAAGAGCCAAATTATGCTATAGTTTTTGATGATTTTTTTTTTTTCTTTTTTTTCTTTTTTTTCTTTTTAATGTAATCTGCTTTGGAGTCTTGTTTAAAGTGGGCTGTTTTATTTAATTAGTTTCTATTCATATTACATTCACTCTCCATAGTTATCCCGGGCAAAATTTAAGGAACAGCCCACAAGGGATTTCCAATTCTTAATTGGAATCACATTTTTTTCCAAGGATGTTTGATTCTAAGTGTTTACTGTGCTTTCTGTCATCTGGTATCTTTCCAGTTGATGTTGTTTGCTTAGTTACTGTTTGGCTAAATTATCCACAGCTAGTTTATTTCAGTAGTCATGCCTCGGAAGTTTTGCAATTCCTTTCCGCTTTGCAGCTCCTCACTGAGCTCCTGTTGAATCCTTTAATGAAGTACTCAGAAGTGACTTCAGTGCAAATGCAGTTGTGCTCTATTGTTTTGACGCTTGGGCTCTGCAGAGAGGTTATTTCCCTCTTTCCTGAGCTAATCACATAGTTGATGTTCAGAGTATCAGCCAACTGGGGACAGATACCTTCACCTGACCCCTGGCAGGTATTTACATTCCCAGCTGGTTATCATTGCATCTAATCCAAAATTCTACTAGAAAAGTACCCAGTCTTGATTTCAAGATATCAAGTGATAGGCTGCACTGGTTCCCCGGGTAAATTATTCCAATGGCTGATTACCCTCGCTAATTTCTTATCACCATCTGTCCGGCCTGGTTCCTAACCACAAAATCTTGCTACAAGTTTTCATGCCAGGTTGATATGAAAGCCTGTCGCTGCCAGGGTGACACGTTCCAGATAAAAGATGGTCTATTGTACTCCAAACCCATGGCTGTTAACTGTGCTGAGCTCTTCCTTCTGGGAAGGGGCAGCCGTGGAGCTGGAGTCTGGGTGATCAGTGTGGTTTACAGCAGTGATGGAGGGTGTCTGGCTTGGTGTCTTTGTGCAGGTAGGTCTTCCTGGGAACTGTGATTGAATAACTCATGTTGCTTGGAGCTGGGCTTCACATGATGAGCAGCCCAGCAGCACAACAGGCTCCAGGTGAAGGAATGATGCAGTTCTCATCCAGTCCTGACTGCAAGCTCCTGCTGTTTCCCTTGGATCAGCTCAGGTGACCAAGTGGCCTCAGATCAGTCCAGTCATTGCTCCGACTGACTATTAGCCCCCCTCCCTAAAGAAAAACAAGTATAGAAGTTGCATTAGCCTGCCTTATGCCCAGAGAGATTGCTGAAGAAGTGTAGTGTGACACTGGGCATGAGAAACATGGTGAGGGACTACCTCTTCCAGCAGCAGGATTAGATGGCAGAGGGAATCACACCTTTAGTTCTTACATTTCTGTGCTTGGATAAACAGGCTGTGGTTGCACAAATCCTCTCAGCGGGCACTGCTGTTGAAAGAAGCCGTCGTGCCTGCCTGTTGTCATCTCTGCTGGTTCTTTGCTGTGGTTTGTTGTGAGACCACACATGCACCTCTACCACCAGGAGAGAAAGGGCAGAGGATGGAACTCCTTTTGGCAAGGTGAAGAGTTGGTGAAACTAGGAGCTGTCACAAGCATGCCTTGCCTTTAAATCTTCATAGAAGGCAGTGCATTTTTTGCCTTCCCTCTGCAGCTGATGTGTGAGAGCAGCTGCCCTGATTTACTCAGTAGTGCAGGTTAATTCTGTTGAGTGGCTTGGAAGAACTGGGTTTAGCCAAGACTGGGTTTAGATCACCTGATTTTATGTCTTTTGTCAAGAAGTGCGTGTTGAAATTTGTTGTGTGGAAAAGAGCATTTAGTGTAAGAAGAAGATCTGAGCCTTGGCTGTGACACACTGCTACCTATGAAGGGTTCAGTGGTGCAGCAAAGTTCTAAGTTAACGCATTCATTCATGCGTTCTAGATGCGAGTTCTCAGTGCTGAGCAAGGTGGGGTGCTCTTTTGGGGAAGCTTCATTAATCTTGTCTCTTCCATTAACAAGTGACTCCAGCTCTCCTGCCCTTCGAGTAGAATTGGTTTCCTGAGACAAAATCCATTCCCCTTCTATTCTTTTAGACACCATTCCTTCAAGTACCATGCAGAACACTGCAGGATGAGGAATAGGGCCTGTGGTGCGGACTTGTTTTGGACCTCATGGGGTTGGATTAAAAGTGAGACAAAGTTGAAAAAGAAATTCCCATGACTTTAGTACAAGCTCAGTGTAAGGTCAGGGGGAGGGCTATTGGTTTTGATAATGGGAAAAATTTAGAAGAGGGAAGGTGATTACCATGACATGTGTACAAATGTACGTAGATAAACAGACACACATATGTAAATATATACAAAATAGAGGGTGTTCTGGTGCTAGGAGAGGTTGAGGAGGAGTGGCTGAAGAAACTGTAATTGGAAAGTACACAAGGAGGGAACTGAGGTAAGAGGAAGCACAGGAACCTGCTGCTGGGAGAATACTGCATTAAAGCAGAGATGGCCACAAATTCCCTTCCTGAAAACGTATCCTTTTTGCAGTGTCACAGAGAAGTCTGTGATGTTTGGACACCAAACCACCCATTTGTGATCTCAGATTGAACACCCAGCTGCAGGCAGGGGCTCAGTGTGTGAGACTGACCGCCCACAGCCTTGCTGGTGCTCGGAGTCATTAAGCACTGGGGTTCCTAATGCTGATCATACACAGAAATTCCTAAATCTCCACCGGGGCCAGGCTGGGATGATGCCCAGTGGGATCCATGAGCTGGGTGATCCCCTCCATGGGCAGAGCAGAGCTGTGCACTGGTGAGCAGACCCAGCCTTGCAGAGGCTGTGACTGGAGGAGGTGAGGGGAGGGAAGGCTCCTGCTTCATCAATAAATCCAGCAGTAGATTTTATGAATCCAAAATACACCCCTCTGGAGGCAGGGGAGGGGATTAGGATCCTGGTCATGTTAGAGCATGATTTGTTCAGGTTGCAGAAGCCCCGGGATAATCAGGGGACATGAGTGTGGGTTACAAGCAGACCTGTAACTAGTTGGACATAGTCCTTGTTCACATCTGCCACAAAGTGGCTGCCATGGCTACAATTGCATATTCACTTGATAATAGAAATAGGTGCACAAAGCAGTGTTAAGCTAACACAAAGGCCACTGTTGGGAGGAGTAGAAGATGCTTTGCACCTGATCTTGCTGGACAGCTGCAAAAAATCAGGATGTTGTAGATTACTAGTTACAGGTGAGCTATATAGTATGTGTGCTTTACACTCACCTTCACAGGTGTAATGATCAAAAATGTCTACACAGATTGTTTGAATAGCTTAAATCTTATTTGGGCCCTTAAATCTTCACTACAGATTGTTGTCTATGATGATGGGGTCACAGAGACTTGGAAAGAGTAGATGGGAAGAGTATAGCTTTCACAGGAAAAAGATGCCATACCAGTGCCTAGCAAAGCTCTGATGCTGTAACATCAGATGTCTTTAGTGGGTCTGGGTTCCAGGCTAAATCCTTGGATTGAGCCTGAGTTTAGATGCAGAAGTTGAGAAGTTTTGCTGTAAGTATTTCATAGTGCAGGCATCCAAGGGTAACTCTAGACTGAAATGTAATCCATCTGCAACATTTGAGTCACTCTTCTTTCTGAGGTGCTCCAAGATCCCAGTCTGGTTTTACAGGTGAGGGTTGCCAGGCTGCTGGTGAAGTTGTGAGGGTGTTTATTTCCATTCTGTTGCTGGATGTAGAGGAGAAAGAGTGTCCTGAGTATGCTGCCAGCTCTTCAGGACAGGAACATCGTACAGCATTTAGAACAGTGAGGATTCAGTCCTGATGGTTGGTATGGCTTATCACTCAAGTAACTCTTCTCATTGTTTGTTCTCTTTTTCTGTGACTTGCTTTGCACATGAAGATATTTCAGCTTGAGTCTGGGTACAATAGAGGTGGCAGATCTTGGAGTGCTTTGAGAATGTTGCACTTTTCTCTCCTTTCTCTACTCCTCCCCACAAGACTGTAAAATATCCTGAGTTGGAAGGCACCCACAAGGATCACTGAACTCCCAACTCCAAGGCAAGGTGTTTTCTCCTGGAAAGGCATGTCCCAGGTACAGGCAAACAGAATTTTAGGATGGGCAGGAGGGGTGCACTGGCAAGGCTACAGTACAATACACAACCCTGTCATGACTCTGTGCCGTGACAAACTGTGGGGCAGAGAGAGGATGCAGTGGGGAGACAGGCAAAGAGAAGTGGGTTCATCCCATATTTTTACCACAAATTACAGGTTGTGGCATGTTTTCTTAAATGTGCAAGTGATTGAGAGAGATGGGTTTACCCCTCAACTCACCCAGTAATTTCTTAATAGCAACTGGTGATGTGTATAGGGAATATATGACTGTACTGTCACTCTCTTCTCATCCCTGGGCACGGCTGGGAAGAGGGGATATTCTGTCAGGGCATGTGGGGAAGGATGAAAGGGAGACTGTAGGGTGTTCCTGTAGGCACAAGGTGAACACTGCTTGTTTTGGTGCCATCTGGGAAGGCAGTTGTCCTCCCACTTCACTCCTACACTTCACCTTGTCTTCTGCCCCTGCACAATGAGTAAACGGAGCTGTTTCATTTTGGAGAGGGCAGAGAGAGGAAGATGAGCAATTTGGAGGTATGCTGGAGCAATGAAATGTGCCTTATCCTGGAAGAACAAGGCCAGGCATGCAAATTATGTCATTGTAATGTGTGCTCTGTCACAAGGGAGAGTCAGGGCTGTGAAAAGCAGCTAAAAATTGTGTCTGTGTGTCTAGAAGAATCATGACAGCTGAATTGCCCAGTGGGTGTTATCCAGATGAACCACAGACATTTCTTCCTTCGTTCCCTACCAGTGTCATTTCTGCCTATCCAGTTGCTGA